TGTGGTTTGGTAGCGGGTATAGTAAAACCATGCAAACCGCCAGCTAGGGAACACTCCAAACTCCCGAACGGTACCTGTATGGCTCTTTCCCTTCACGAGCTCCAAATCCACGAACTGACAATAGTAACCGAACGCCAATATCTTCCAAGCGGCAAGTAATCCAAATAATTAGTAATGAACTTACTATGCAGAATTTATCACCCCCTAATATCCATTCTCATTTTAATAAACTGAATAAATTATTTAGACAACAAATCAGAATGAGTTGGGAGATATCCACACTACAGAAATATCTTTCTAAAAGCATTATACCCAGAGGGTTACGGGTACAGGTACCCCCTGCTAGACAGATGGCTTTGGAAGAGTTTCATAAGGAGTGGGAGGAGGCAGCTACTATTTGTTCAAATACCTTTATGAACATAATCTGCAAATATGAATCTATGAGACTTGAGACTGTACAACAAGAACTAGATAAACAAATAGATGAGGTCCAACAGGTAAAAGCTGACCCTCAATTTGAGTCATTGGAAGTAAAGCTAAAAACTAACCTTGATAAATTTTCGCATCAAATCAAGGTTAGGAAGCATCAAAAATATCTTCGGGATGTTTCAGACTTTGAGAGAGGGAATGTTTACTACCCGTTTAAAAGAAGGAATAGAGTTTATTCTGATTATGTGAGCACATCAGAATATGAATCCACTGATACAGAAACTGACAGACCCTCTACTCCACATACACCTATACCGACTAATCCACCCAAAAGTATTTTAAAGAAAGGGGTGGATTTTTTAGGTCTACGTCAGGCCGAGTTATCTCAGGGTCCTCGTACAAGGAACAGAGGTCGAGGTCAGAGACACCGAAGATAATGTCTAAACCATCCTTACAGATCATTAACCTGTCCAAATCCACTCTTTCTAATGCCCAAATGAGTATATTATCTAAGGGGTTATCTTATGTTCCTACACCTACTTTCAATAAATTTACATGGACAAAAGATGTCCATCTATTTGTGCAGAAGTTAGCCTTGCATAAATATCATGAGCAACGCAAAGAAACTAAAGCACAGAATTTAGGATTATCATCTAAGGACTTAGAATGTCTTCAAACACTCGTTGAACTTTTGGAATCCTGTGATGGTTCCATTAGGAACATTCTTCCTCAAACTAATTTGCGATCTAAAAGTAGGTTTACCCCTCCGTTTAAAGACTATAGGAATTTGGAGGTATTCCTAGATATGGTTTGTAGGGAAATTGTCTCTTTACCAACTGACGATTTCCAACTACATCTTGGGGATAACCTTTCAAAACAGGAGAGAATGGCTATTAGTCAGCTCCAGGCTAACAGGGACCTGATTATTAAGCCATCTGATAAGGGGGGGAAATGTGGTTGTTATGGACAGGGATCATTACATAAGGATGGCTGAACGACTGCTATTGGATGAAAACACGTACCGTGTGATTAAAAAGGATCCAACTGCACTCTTTTTGGTTGAATTACGTACCTTATTGATTGGAGCTGTGGAAATGGAATTCATCTCAAAAGATGAATTCGAGTTCATGAACCCTAAAGAACCTATTTTGTCAACTTTTTATTGTTTACCTAAAATCCATAAGTCCATGTCGGACTTGACAGGTAGACCGATTGTATCTGGTTGTGGTAATCTTACCCAGAATATAAGCGTATTTCTTGTCAAGATTTTGTCCCCGATGGTACAGAGTTTACCCTCATACCTTCGGGATACAAAACAATTACTTGTTTTTTTGACCCAGAATGAGATTCCATATCATGCCAAATTGTGCAGCCTTGACGTAGAGGCTTTATACAGTTCAATTCCTCATGAGCTTGGAATTGAACATTGCAGAATGTTCCTCTCTCTTAATTCTAAATTACCTGAGACGTATATTGAATTGATATCAGATCTGTTGAAATTTGTACTAACACATAACATATTTCTCTTTAATGGTAAATTGTATCAACAGATGAGGGGAACAACCATGGGGACACCATGTGCACCCTCATATGCAAATCTACATCTGGGCTGGTGGGAGCGAATAATCAGAGAAGACCCTAACCTCAAACAGTATATGGATCAGGTCCTTTACTGGAAGAGGTACATTGACGACATTTTTGTCGTCTGGTTGGGTACCTCCGAGTTCTTTACGGACTTTGTCGCTGTCCTCAATAATAACACTTATAATCTGCGGTTTACAAGCGAGATGGGGGGTTCTAAATTATGTTTTTTGGACGTTTCTCTTGAAATAGGGGAAGCGAACAAAACGAATACTACACTTTTTAGGAAAAAAACAGCTACAAACAGCCTTTTGGATTGGTCTAGTTACCATCCTACTCCATTAAAAGCTGGAATCCCCATCGGACAGTACCTCAGATTACGACGGAATTGTTCATCCCTGGATGACTTCAAGTCCAAAGCAAGGACTTTGAGATTGTCCTTCAGGGAAAAAGGATATCCTAATAGGGTGTTAAAGAGAGCATATGTGAGGGCTCTTTCAACCGAACGACAAACTCTTATTGATGACAATTCTGTTAAACAGGAGGGACAACTGATAAGATGCATTGGAACCTTTGACACTGGGTGGCAAAAAATGATGGGAATCTTTAAGAAATATTGGCCCATCATATCTACAGACAAACATCTTAAAGATGTAGTGACAACGTATCCTTCTGTTACAGCCCGTAGAGGTAGGAATTTAAGGGACCTACTTGTCCCTAGTCATCTCTCTTCATTGTCAATTTCAGGACCTTTTAAAAACTACTTACCTACTGGCACATACCGATGCAGTCACTGTAGTGCATGCCCCTTTATCAATAAGAACTCTAAAACCTGCAATAATAGTTCCAAGTCAGAGACCTTTAACCTACGCTCTTTCATCAATTGTCGCACTGCAGGGGTTATTTATTTACTTACCTGTTCATGTGGCCTTATGTATGTGGGGAAGACTTTTTGTCCCTTCAAGTTTAGAATCAGGGAACATGTAAACTCAGTAAGGAGACGTCTTGAAACCCCCATATCAAGACATTTACATCTTTACCATAACCATTCTTCAGCGGGAATACGCTTTTTGGGATTAGAACATATCCCTCAGCCTCCACGTAAAGGTGGGTGGGATATCAAACTCCGTCAGAGGGAGGCATTTTGGATTTTCAAACTTCAAACTTTATCACCACATGGTTTGAATGAGGGGTTTTCATATACCCCTTTCATTCAATAAACAATTACTAGTAACTGTGTATGGGTATTTTCCTGTTAATTATGATCTTAATTATTAGTATTTAATATTAATTTTGAAGTTTTATTTACGTTTTGGTTAGTTAAGTGTTTATTATTATCTAGGGATCCTAAGCTACTATATATATCTCCCTATGCAGTTTTAGTGATGCCACATTGGTCATTACTATTTATGTAATTGATTGGAGCAAGGGATTCTATGTTGTTCAGGTTATACCTGATTCCTACTATGTAGTAGGACTTCACATAGAGTGTACTCCTCACACTATGGATGGATAAGGGACAAATGGGAGTGTTATGCATTCCAGTGTGCCCATTCTAAAATTACACTTACCTTGTTTCACATAATTATACACTTAAATGCCTTTTATCTAGGCAGCAAGTGGGTAATTTTGGATCATTATTTGATCACCCTTGAATGTATCCTTCAGGGATGATCACTATGTTAATCCCCTCGTTGTATTGTCGGGTTGTTTTAACCCCGCCTATTCAGTGACGTCTGTGTGACTCATTAGGTTGTGTATGAGGGGGGCGTGGTATAGAGACGGTGCCCGCCCCTTCACTGCCCGTGTGACACAGCGTTTGATATCATAACTACGTGGGGTATGCGGATGTGGTGTCCGCCCCCTTCCCTGCTCACGTGGCGTAGCGTGTTGACGTCACGGAGAGTATACGGAAGGAGGTCGGGCTACATTGGACTACGAACATATGATTGAGAGGCGGGTTTCATGGGGACCAATGAGATGTGAGTTTCTCACTTACGAACCAGCTGTTAACAATGTCCAATTGTGTATTGGACATTTAAAGAAGCGGGAGAGACCGGTAGCTTTTGTATTTGCCCCTGACGACGGCGTCTTGATATGCTGAAACGCGCGTTGGGCTCTTTTCCTATTTTATTTTTAACTATGCACTTGGGTTGTAGGGGTTAGCACTTAATTGAGTTCCACTTTTTTTAGTCCCTCCATAGGACTAGCTGTGTTAGTAGGCATTAGATCTTTGTTATGCTGAAGCATTAGGGATTCTATTTAGTTAGTATCTAGCTGTGAATATTTAGAGAGGTTCTAGATGATTTATGACTATGTAGTGTAGAATGGAGCGTCTATATGTCTTCTAGATACCTACTATTAGTCTTTACTAGATCTCTTTATCTAATTTAGAACAGACTATTTCTACCTTCAGTTCTATTTGTCTATTGCTATTTTAGCCTCTTACATAGATATTCTCTACCTTCTACACCTATGTACCTTGTGGATAGGAGACTAAGGCTTTTATCTTTAATAAATTACGATACACTTTTTATCATAAGTACATGTTAATAGGGTTGTACAGCTCCTTCCCGGCACAATATCAAGTTGGGTATTTGTGCTGGCAAATTATTGTGTTTAATCCAAATAAGCAGTCTCTAGGCGCCGGTAATAAAATCCCCCCAATAATGAGACCAAGCTCCGCTTTGAGGGTAAAACACGAACTGATTTACTGTGGGCTACCTGCCCGGTATTTATGCAGGTCTCCCACTTGGTGGACACTCCCCTAGGGGACCAAATGGGAGACTGGAATTACAGAAAGACATGGGGACATTTTGGACACACATCCCCACAATATTCCCACCATGCATCACAGTTCCCTCCCCTCTGCTCGGGGGATAATTGGGAAGTAATTCAATTATCTCCCCGAGCAGAGGCAAATCGCCATTTTAAATACAAGTCACAAAACACATAAAAATCTATAACTTTATAACTGCCGAACATATTGCATTCGTGTAACACATCCCCAGATAGCCTGGATCTGAGTGCATATTATTGGCGAATAGCGCTCAGATCCCATTCGCATAGTTCAATCGCCATGGAGTCAAAGTCTATTACAGTTCTTCGGTATGCGATTGACTCCATGGGACGGCTATCTGGGGTTAAGTCCATTCGTGTTGTTGAATCTCCCGAACGGCCGGCATTCGTATGCTTTTGTCGATTGAGAAGGGGAGGTCGACGGCTTCAGCGGTGTTCGGTTGAAAAAGTGTCCGTTTTCAGATCCATGAAATAATCGTCGAACACCGCTGGTCTTTTGCATGGTTAAAATGGCCGCCGCCTCGTGGTCGACATACGAACGACGACCACCCGGCATTTGGTTTTAATTGAGAAGTGTCTGTGGTTAACCGCAACGTTCTAATGGGGATCAATATGTTAACCAGCAGCACACTTCTCTTCTGGGTGGCCGTCCGTTCGGTAGTTTCGTTCGACAAAAAACGACATTCCCTTAAACAAAGCATACGAATGGGGAAATTCATGTAACCGGCAAAGCAGACGAACACAGTACTTTTAATCCAGACAGATGGGTCTGTCACAGTTTCTTTTAGCAAAAGATTCAGAAGATTTTATTTTTACTGAAAATAAGTAATATAGTTATTCCCATTTAGGTTCATCTCACTTTCTTATCCCATTTAGTATCAAAATAAGTGGCTTACCTCTCTCTTCTAGCAGCTGGCTTGTGTAAAGGAGGAGGAGAGGACATCTGTAAAGTAAAACCTCCCTAATTGTTTGTAGATCTCTAGCTGTATCCTCCATATTATGATTTGGTAAACTGGTTGTTGAAAGGATATATTCTGTGAGGAAGCTGAACAATATAAGATAAGTTATCAGTTTTTTCCCCCACTTATCACTCAGAACGGTGAAGGTGTGGTGTTTGTTTGCACTATTTTCCAAAGGCATGCCCAAGTGTATCTTGGGATCAATTATTGATTTCTGCTCTATGGTATACTTAGGTATATGGGGGTCAAAGTTAGAAAAAGTGTGTATTTTTAAATGTTTTCATCATATTTTATAATTGTCTTTATGGTAAATTATATGACATGATAAAAATAATGGTATCTTTAGAAAGACCATTTAAAGGTGAGAAACACAGTGTATAATATGTGTGGGTACAGTAAATGAGTAAGAGGAAAATTATAGCTGAACACAAACACTGCAGAAATGTAAAAAGAGCCCTGGTCCTTGACGGTAAGAAAATTGAAAAATGGTCTGGTCACTAGGGGGTTAAACAGTATTTTTTCACAGTATTTTGCACCCAGTGGGGTTCCTCAGGGATCTGTACTTGGACCCATTCTCTTTAATATTTTTATTAGTGATATTGCAGAAGGTCTTGATGGTAAGGTATGTCTTTTTGCTGATGATACTAAGATATGTAACAGGGTTGATGTTCCAGGAGGGATAAGCCAAATGACAAATGATTTAGGTAAACTAGAAAAATGGTCAGAATTGTGGCAACTGACATTTAATGTGGATAAGTGCAAGATAATGCATCTTGGACGTAAAAACCCAAGGGCAGAGTACAGAATATTTGATAGAGTCCTAACCTCAACATATGAGGAAAGGGATTTAGGGGTGATTATTTCTGATGACTTAAAGGTAGGCAGACAATGTAATAGAGCAGCAGGAAATGCTAGCAGAATGCTTGGTTGTATAGGGAGAGGTATTAGCAGTAGAAAGAGGGAAGTGCTCATGCCATTGTACAGAACACTGGTGAGACCTCACTTGGAGTATTGTACACAGTACTGGAGACCGTATCTTCAGAAGGATATTGATACCTTAGAGAGGGTTCAGAGAAGGGCTACTAAACTGGTTCATGGATTGCGGGATAAAACTTACCAGGAAAGGTTAAAGGATCTTAACATGTATAGCTTGGAGGAAAGACGAGACAGGGGGGATATGATAGAAACATTTAAATATATAAAGGGAATCAACACAGTAAAGGAGGAGACTATATTTAAAAGAAGAAAAACTACCACAACAAGAGGACATAGTCTTAAATTAGAGGGATCAAGGTTTAAAAATAATATCAGGAAGTATTACTTTACTGAGAGGGTAGTGGATGCATGGAATATCCTTCCAGCTGAAGTGGTAGAGGTTAACACAGTAAAGTAGTTTAAGCATGCGTGGGATAGGCATAAGGCTATCCTAACTATAAGATAAGGCTAGGGACTAATGAAAGTATTTAGAAAATTGGGCAGACTAGATGGGCCGAATGGTTCTTATCTGCCGTCACATTCTATGAGTATTTAAGGTGAAAAAATCTTCATTATATCCGTGAACAAATCAACGTAAATAAATAATAAACGTCGATTTGTTCACGGATATAATGAAGATTTTTTCACCTTAAATAATTTGATTGTCGTTCTTGTTTAAGACCTGTGAGTGCACCCCTGTCTGTAAACATATATTTATAACGCGGGTTGCACCTAGGCAATTTTGTTGGTTTTTCATTCATTTTGGAGTAAGGAGAGTGCCAAGCAGCTGTGGATTTTTTGATATATATATATATATATATATATATATGAAAAATTAAAAAAATGTAATTCAAAGAACAAAAAAAAAGTAAAAATAAAAAATGCTAAATAAATAAATTGGGAAAATTAAAAAATTGATGAAAGGTTAAAAAAGGCTCAACTGCAAAATACTGTGAAAAAATACTGTTTAACCCCCTAGTGACCAGACCATTTTTCAATTTTCTTACCGTCAAGGACCAGGGCTCTTTTTACATTTCTGCAGTGTTTGTGTTCAGCTATAATTTTCCTCTTACTCATTTACTGTACCCACACATATTATACACTGTGTTTCTCACCTTAAATGGTCTTTCTAAAGATACCATTATTTTTATCATGTCATATAATTTATATATATAATATTATTCTTATTTTAATATGCATATTTTTATTTTATTTATTATTAATATATTTTATGTTTAATTATTTTTTTCATTATTATGTTTTTAATATTATAATTTTTTTATCATTTACTTCTTTATTTATTTTTTGCTTATTTTCATTTATCCATTCACATGGGTATTTGTTGATTGCCCTGTTTTTTTTTAGTTTTTTTTTTTATAGTTTTAAATCACTTACATCTCCAAAGGAGATGTACATAAGAGACCAAATTGAACTCTTTTATGCCATTGCTGCCTTTTGGGACTGTCCAGCATATATTTTTGATATGTGGTAATTATGTCTCCCCATTCAGTTCGTAAGGATGTGTCTGATTAATTAAAATAAACATCATGATTTTTTTGCCTAATAATAATAATAGTAAATAAGGTATTAACCCCTTAAGGACGGGTGACGGACGAGGTCCGTCACAGAGGGGAGACCCTTAGTGACGATTGACGGACCTCGTCCGTCACGCGGTAAAATTAACCCCGGATCGCCGCTATCGCGGCAACCGCGGGGTTAATGGTGCTCCGGTATGCCTCTGCATTAGAGGCATACCGGGAGCACCCGGTCAGGCTGCCCAGCACATGTGCTCGCTCTGACTGCAAGTCAGAGCGAGCACATGTGCTCTGTATACTTACCTTCCGGCTCCCTGCACTTCCTGGTTCTGTGTGAAGTGCAGGGAGCCGGAACGGTGCTGATCCTACCCCCTGTAGGAAAAAATAAATAAAGTTTATTTAAAGTCCCACCCCGCCTTTACCCATTTTAATAAAAAAATAACCCCTTCCCTGCCAATTAATCACTGACTACAGTGATCAATTGGCAGGGATTACATTTTACTATGATCTGATTTTTTATTTAACCCCTGAGGGTTAATTCTTTTTTTTTAACCCTCAGGGGTTAAATTTATTTAATTAATTAATTAAAATATTTTAAAATTATATATTTAGCTAGCTGGGGTGGGTGGAAGTTAGTGGGGAATTGGGAGATTTGACGTTAGGCTAACTAGGGGTTAACGTTAAAAAAGTTTTAAAATAAACTTTAAAAAGTAAAAAATTAAGCTTAAAAAAAGTTTTAATAACGTTTAAGTAAAAAATAAAAAAACACCCCCCTTTACCTAGTCCAAATAAAAATGAACCCCTTCCCTGCCAGTCGATCACTGCCTATAGTGATCAAATACAGATCACAGTATTATACTGTGATCTAATTTTTTTTTTAACCCCTGAGGATTAACTTTTATTTATTTTTTAACCCTCAGGGGTTCAATTTATTTAATTAATTAATTTAAATATTTTAAAACTATATATTTTGCTAGCTGGGGTGGGTGGGAGTTATGCGAAAATGGGGAATTTACTGTTAGTGCTGCTTACTGCTAGTTAGGGGTTAACGGTAAAAAAAAAGCTTAGAAAAATGTTAATTCTGTAAAATAGTTTTAAGAAAGTCTAGGAAAGTTTAAAAAAAATTAATAAGCAAAACAAAAGTTTAAAAACTAGTTTTTAAAAGTAAAAAAGTTTAAAAAAGTAAAAAAAAAAAAAAATTTTAAAAACGCTCATTACCACAACACCTGGAACAAACTAGAGAAAAAATTACCCACGCCAAGGTTCAAAATATGCCTTTTGAATTACCCCAGGGTGTATTCTTTAATAAATAGTATGTGTTTGTGGGGAAGTTTCAATAACCAACCATCTAAACTACTCCAAATTGGAACATGGACACAGCGTAAAACTTCAAAGTTAGAAAAAAACTGAATGGCTGCGTCTCAAATGCGCCCCTTCAACATCCACATATACCTGGCAAAGGTACATACGGGGGTATTGCTGTACTCAGCCGACATAGCTGAGCAACATATGAAGTATTATACAGTCATAGCACACATAAGGTTTGCAAAATATGCTGCGCAAACTCACTTTGTATGTCAAAAAGGCAGAAAAAATGCTTATTACCACTACACTTGGTACAAGCTAGCGGAAAAATGATCCCACGCTAAGGTTCAAAATATGCCTTTTGAAATACCCTGGGATGTCTTCTTTAAGAAATGGTATGGCTTTATGGGGTATTTGGATTATATAGCCTGGTAAAATACTCTAAAATGGGACATAGGCACAGCGTAAAAATTCAAAGTTTGAAAAAAAATTGAATGGCTGTGTCCCAAATGTGCCCCTCCGATGTCCACACATACCTGGCAAAGGTACATACGGGGGTATTGCTGTACTCAGCCGACATAGCTGAGCAACATATGAAGTATTATACAGTCGTAGCACACATAAGGTTTGCAAAATATACTGTGCAAACTCACTTT